GCCTCCCTCCCAATGTGCTTCCTCTTTTTCCTCCTCCCTCTTCCCCTCCCTCCTTCCCCCTTCCTTCCCTTCCTCCCATCCCCCTCGTTCCCTTCCCGTCCCCTTTTCTTTCCCCTTCCCTCCTTTCCTCTCCCTCCGCCTCCCCCCCCCTGCCCCGTTCCCCCCCTCATCTCCGCCCCCCCCGATGCCAGTGCTGGCTCGAAACTAATTATCGCAGCAGTTTGGCGGCCGCGGGCTGCATCGTGATTTATGGCAGTGGTTTTAATGGCACCGTCTGCAAAAAACAAAAAACATCGTTCATCTTTCTGGCGACAACGGCGCGCGCCGCTTTGCGAGGGCAGCCGCGTTGCATCCCCTTCCGCGCGTTCGGCGACAACCCGCCCCTTTTCGCTCGGCGCCCACATTGTGGCTTCCGATTCTACGATTTCCCGCGACGCCTCGCTTTTCAATATTCGGCGCGCAGGTAAACCCGGCCATCGCGTGCCAGCGCTTGCTCCTGATCGTTTTGCCGGCCCCGGCTTGCGCCATCAAGCGCCGCGTAGTCACCATTCCCGCGTTTTTGTTTGCGCTCGCGCGCAGCCCCGCGGGCGAGGTAAAAGGGCACCCTGCTCGCGCCAACGCGGGCCTTCGCGCGCGAACATCAGACGCGACGAATGCCCGGGCCGCTCCATGGGCGCGGCGAAAAACCCCGAATCGCGATGTGCGGTGACACATTGGTCGCGCAAGCAAGCCGCGCCCAAAATCGACGCAATTTGTTTTGTTCAAAAAGACGATCACTGGCCGAAGTGGCCGCGACGGTTATGAGGCTGCCGGTTTGCGTTGGAACGGAGCGCTTCGCCATCGCAGAGACGCAAACGCTCACGGCCATGAAATACCCATTGGCGACAAAGCGAGCGACAGTTAGACATAGCCTGTGCTGATATGAGGGTAAGCCCGTACAGAGGAAGTCCAAACGGGGCGCTCGGTGTTTGTATGGACTTGTTCCGTCTGGACGTAGCCTCTTTGGATAGGAGGGTAAACCCATACGGAGTACGTACATACAGAATGCTCAGCTTCCGTATGGAATTGTTCCGTGTTGACGTGGTTTCTCCTGAAAAGGGGGTTCGGCCCATACGAAGTACGTCCATGCGGTGACTTGGTTTCTGTGTAGGCTTGCTTCGTCTGGGCTAAGTCCGTACGGGGTATGATGCTATGTCCGTACAGGGTATGTCCATACAGAGAGTTCGGTTTTCGTATGGACTTGATCCGTGTGGGCCTAGCCTCTCTCGGTAAGGGGTTAAGTCCACGCGGGCTAACCTCACACTGCGTGCTCGGTCTCCGTATGGATCTGCTCCGTGTGGGCGCAGCCTCTCTTGATACGAGACTAAGTCCGTACGGAATAAGTCCATACGGAGTACCCGGTCATCGCACAGACATGCTGCGTTTGGGCGTAGCCTCTTTTGACAGGAGGCCACGTCCTTTAAACACAAATCCATACGGAATGCTCGGTCTCTGTATGGATGTGTTCCTTGTGGACGTAGCCCCTTTGGATAGGAGGGTCAGTCCGTACGGAGTTATTCCATACGGAGTGTTCGGTATATTCACGGACCTGCTCCGTGTGGGCGTAGCCTGTCATGAGAGGAGGCTAAGGCCATACAGAGTACGTCGATACAGAGTGTACGGTCTCCGTATTAGCATGCTCCGTGTGGACGTAGCTTGTCATGAAAGCACGCGGAGTAAGTCCATACGAAGTGCTTGGCCTCCGTGTGGCATTGTTCCATGAGGACGCAGCGCATCTAGATGGGAGGTTAAGTCGGTACGCGGCAACTCCATACGGAATGCTCGGTCTCCGTATGGACTTGGTCCGTGTGGACGTAGCCTCCCTTGATACGAGGTTGAGCCCATACGAACTAAGTCCATGCGGAGTACCGGGTCTTCGCATGGACATGCTGCGCGTGGACGAAACCTGTCTTGACAGGAGGCCAAATCCGCAAGAAGTAAGTCCATACGCAGTGCTCGCTATCCGTGTGGACTTGTTTCGTGTGGACATAGCTTCTCCGGATAGGAGGCTCAGTCCATATGGATTCAGTCCATACGGAGTGTTCTCTTCACATGGATTTGCTCCGTGTGCACGCAGCCTCCCTTGAAAGGCGGCTAAGTTTAAGTCCACGCAAGTCCATTCGGAGTGCCCGGTCTCCGTATGGACTTGCTCCGTGTGGACGTAGCTTGTTTTGTTTGGAGGCCAAGTCCATACGGAGTAAGTCGGTACGGAGAGCGGTCTCTGGATGGACCTACTCCGCGTGAGCGTAGCCATTCGCGATCGAGTGTTTTAGTCCTTACAATGTGGGTCCATACAGAGTGTTCGCTCTTTATACAGACTTGCTCCGTGTGGACGTAGCCTCTCTTGCTAGGAGGCTAAGTCCATTCGGAGTAAATCCATACGGAAAAGTCGGTTTCCGTGTGGATTTGCTCCGTGTGAATTTAGCCTCTCTCGATAGTTGGCCAAGTGCATACGGAGGGTTCGGTCTCCGTATGGACTTGCTCCCTGTGGACCTAGCTTCTCCAGATAGGAGGGTAAGTCCACACGGAGTCAGTCCATATGGACTGACTGCTCGGTCTCCGTATGGACTTGCTCCGTATGGACGTAGCCTCTCTTGATTTGTTCCAGATGCTTCCAGCGCGGACCGGCTCAGCTGTTTCAGCCCGACGTGCCTCCAAGATGGCCCATGCTGGCCTCTGGGGGGCCCTGCAAACGAGCGAGCGGCCTCGGATACCGGGACTTCGATTCTGGCGCAGGCTAGCGCAATTGTCTCAGCCTGACGTGCCTCCAAGATGGGTGCAGCGGTCCACGCGACCATCCTTAATGTATCGGGGTTCCTCCTTTCCGCCCTTCTCCATCTCCGCTTGACTACTCCCGTCCCCTTCCTCACTCTCCCCTCCTCCTAACCGCTCTGGCCCAAGCTCTGGCCGAAGCCTCGGGGCGCACAAGTTCGGGCAGGCTGTGGCCGTGACCCGAGCCTTTGGGGGCCCGGCAGAGCGGGGCTACCTCGTTGCGTGCGCGACGGTGTGCCGCCCCGCCTGCCAGAGTCGCACTGCGCCGTGCCCTCCGTCGCGGCGATGTCCGCGGTGCTCACTCAGTACGTCGCCTGACCGGCACAGCCACGCTCCATGTATTGCAGCCGACCCTCATTGGCCAGTGCTTTTATCTGGTCCGCGCGGTCGGCTCAGGGCTTTCTGCGCCATGGGCCAGGTTCCTTGCTCGTGCCGCTGCTGGCTGCCGCATCAGGCCTTGCTTCATGATGTTCCAGCTTATGCCTCGATCGCCAGAGAGAGTCTCGAGCACCAAGCAAGTACCGAAACTTGGTGGTTTTCACGTGCTGTGCCCTGAGAGGCGATACTCGTTCGACACTGTTTCGATACTTGTCTGGGTGATCGAAATTATTTTTGGGAATGGTCTTTAAGTAAGATGGGACCAACATAAGACTTGCTTGGGATGGTTGCAGCCGCGGGCGTTGAATTATTCCAAAGCGTCGTGCGATCCGCGTCCACCAGCCCCACGAGAGCCGTCTGACCCTCCCAAACAGGCTCCGCCAGACCGCGGCATACATCACCAAACCGTGCTGCCTACCAGGTTACATGCCGTCCTCACTCTACCCGTGAGCTTGGCATGTTTCTCCACAGGAGGAAAATTCAAAAATAGTCAAAACATAGTCTGGGGACGATTTGTTTGATGATCTGTTGACCATTTGAGGTATTTTTTTGACTATTTGTCATTTGTCCTTTAAAATCTGCCTGTGGGGGGACATGCCCGACCTAACTCTGCCCGTTCCGTCTGGCCCTGCAACGGGGGAGGCGCCGAGGCGGAGAGCAGGCCGAGAAGGAGGAGCCGTTGCCTTCTCCTGCCCGCGGATGTTCGGCATCATCGCGCGCGCGACTCGTTTGGATCCCTCGCGTGCATGGGGAACTCCTGATACGATGCTGGTGATGTATGATGTGTTGTTTCTCTCTCTCTCTCTCGTCTTTGTGTCTCCCTTTCTCTCTCTCTCTCTCTCTCTCCGCTGCTGCGTTGGATCGGCCCGGGGGTTCTCTGTGCATGTTTTGCATATCTGTTTTTCCCACGCGCTGGCTGCCGGGGCTGGACCCAAGCGCTGTTCTGCTGGACTCGGGCCGCGCTCCGTTTCTCGGTTTTGGGGGGGCGAGGTGCAGGAACACGGGCGGAGCAAGACGAACCGCACGACGAGAGCAGAGCAGCGAAACGCAGCACCCACCAAACCACCCCAACCCAACCCGAAGGCTCAGATTTGCCCTCGATTTCCAGTGTGGGGGGGGGGGGGGGGGGACATCGAAAAAACACAGGTGGAACCCTTACCCCCCCCCCCAACCCGAAATTCGGGTCTTCGGGTTGGGTTGGGGTGGTCTGGTAGGTAGTCAGAAGAGCAGCGTCTAGGTCCAGCCCTGCTGGCTCCAGCCATGCCTTCACGTGCACACACGCGCTGCAGACGCCAGCAGCACGCACGCCGGGGGCCCAGGCGCCCGCCTGGCCGCGGCTCCGCGGCTCCACGGCCCCGCCGCATCTGCCGCCTGCCGCCGGCCCCGCCCTGCTCCGCCCCTCCGCAGGGCTCGTCTCGGTTCCTCCGATTCGATTCCGATGTGATTCGAATTTCGGTTCGACTTCGATCTCGGTTCGAATTCGATGGTTTCCGATTCCGATTCGGTTCGATTCTGGATTCCGATGTAGGCTCGGATTTCTCAACAGAGGCCTGCTGTAGCCGGCCGATTTTGGGCGATTCGGCTTTCCCCGGCTCGGCTGCCGATCTCTGCCGATCCGATGCATTTCGATCGCCTATCCGATTTGTCGAGTCGATTCGACCGGGGGTGGAGGAGGAGGGCGAGGAGGAGGAAGAGGAGGAGGAGGAGGAGGGCGAGGGCGAGGAAGAGGAGGAGGAGGAGGAGGAGGAGGAGGAGGAGGAGGAATGGGAATAGGAGTGGCCCTGGGGCGCCGCGCCGCCCCTTCGCGCCAGAAGTCCTACATCGTGCCGCCGAAGACCGCGGACTACAAGGCCCGCGCCGCGCGGCGCCAGAGAGGAGGAGGAGGAGGAGGAGGAGGAGGAGGAGGAGGAGGAGGAGGAGGAGGAGAGGAGGAGGAGGAGAGGGAGGAGGAGGAGGAGGAGGAGGAGGAGGGAGGAGGAGGAGGAGGAGGAGGAGGAGGGAGGAGGGAGGAGGAGAAGGAGGAGGAGGAGGAGGGGGAGGAGGGAGGAGGAGGAGGAGGAGGAGGAGGAGGAGGAGGAGGCGGCGGCGAGGGGGCCCAGGGCCGGAGTGCCCGGGGGGGGGGGGGCGGGGCTTCCCAGAAGGCTCGCCAGGCCTCGAGCAGTGGCGAAGCGTCCTGGCTCGCCGGTGGGCATACAGTGCCGTTTTTAATACATGTTCCGCGTGCGGATCATGTATCAAAAATGATCGTGCATACATTTATTCGTAAATTGATCATGTGTAGACAATCCTAGAGTTTAAACAAATCCTACGTATGAAAACCTGCCCTGTACCAAAGAGTGTTCTGAGAACCTGTTGTGGTTTGCACGAACTGTTCTTAGAACATTTCTGGTTGAGATTGTCTTGTCTTAACGCACCAGGTTAATGTTCTGAGAACACTGTTTCTGTTCATCGCACATCTGTGGGTTCTAAGACAGGACTATAGGAATGCCAGGACGATCGGTCCCTGCTCAAAGGCCCTCGGGCCTTCCGAGAATCACCGATCGCGTTCCACTACTCGCAAAGTGCCTACCGTATGAAAAAAAACACATGTTCGCTTCGTTGTAGTAGATCGTAACCCCCCCGCGGCAGGTCCAGGCCAGTTACGAGGTTAGCTACTTTGCGAGTAGTGGAACGCGCTTGTCTAGAGAAGTTTGCTGAGCCTCCTCCGAAGACGTTGGGAATCAGGAGGGGGGAAAAACTCACAGACACAAAAATCTACGACTCCCAGGAAAACATTGGCAAATCTGGAAAGTATGAGGGGGAAGACCAAATAATTTAGAACACATACAAACATTAACATGAGGAGTTATGGGATTTGTGTGTCATCTATGTGTGCGTCCCTGCGCCCCTTCGGAGAAGCCCCGCCGTCTGAGAGGGCCTGCCGCCCTTGTCCCTCTGGGTGCGCCGCCGAGTTGAGGGGGGGACTGCCGCGGGGGGGATGGTATCGACTCGGAATCGGCGATGCATCGCCCATACAGTCGGGGCCCTGAAGAAGGAACCCTTTTCGTTGGGGAGGGGCTCCGCGTTCCTTAAGTGTTTCGCAGCCTGCCTCAGGTTGTCCTCATGTCTTCGATCGAAAATCGAAGGTCAGCTTATGGAAAAAAAGAGGCCCCGTTCCTTACTTTGGGTTCCTTGGGTCAAGGCCTCGACTGCAGCTCGGCGAGAGGCCCCCGGTAGCGAGAAGGGGCGCTCTTGGGCGGGGCAGGCTGTCAAGCCCCCGGTCGGCGACGACTGGGCGATGCGGGGTCGATGCGTCCACCCCTGAGCCTAGCCTGAAGTCGGGCCTGTCCCTCTACAGGAGGAGTATTCAAGAATAGCAGAGGAATATCCCAGTGCGACCCTGCCTAGGAGTTGGAGGATCTAGGAGAGCAACATCTGACATCTGTATGAGGCTAAGTTAAGCTAAGATGAAGCTAAGCTGAGATGAAATAAGCTAAGCTAAGATGAGATAAGCAACGCTAAGCTAAGGGGACGTCACTGGGGGAATCCGCGGAGCGGATTCCGGGGGAACCGCCTGGTGCGTGCCCCATTGCCCGGCCCTTTAAGCAAACCGAGTAAGAACCCTTCTAGGCAGAGCCTAGGTAGGGAAATAGTATGTGGGACGATTTCTTTGATTGTTTTTGCATATTTTGAATACTTTTGGACTTTGTTTGGTATTTTCGATTTGTCGTCCAAAATCCGCCTGTAGGAGGATATGCTCGACCTAAGCCTAGCCCCCCTAGTATTGCTGCGCTGCCCCTGAAGGGAACACACATTGGAGGAGAGAAATCATAATACATATATATATATATATGTATACATATATGTACATATTATATATGTGTATATATACACATATATATATATATGATTATCAAAGTTTCCGCAGGTCCGCCTGGATTCCTTGGATCGGCTTTGGACCCGGCGTCTCGGGCGCCGGGTCTGGTACGCTCTGCGCTCCGCGCGCCAGGGAGGGGCCTTCCGGCGCCGATCCAATGGATCCGCGGACGAGGACGAGCACGCCCCCTATACTGCTGCAGCCCAGAGGAGCTGAAGAGCCTGGAGGTGGGAGGGGGGCGGGGTGAGGGCCGGAAGAGGGGGAGGGGCGGGGAGTACTGGGGCTAGGGTCAACGAGAGAAAAGGTACGCATACCTCTACCCTCCCCTCGTTTTCCCCTTTTTGGGCCTCCTGGGCCTCAGTCGTCGCCACCACTGGATTCGCTTCGAAATTCTGGTCAGAACGCACCCTGGGAGAGGTCGGGGGGAGCAGCCGGCATCAGTACCTTTTTGGGTTCCCCAGGGGGGGAGGGGGGGGGGGGGCAGGAGGAGGGAGGGTGCAGGAGAAGGGAGGGGGGACAGGGAGGCAGGGAGGGCAGGAGGAGGCAAGGAGGGCAGGGAAGGGAGGCAGGGGCAGGGAGAGGAGCAGGAGCAGCTGGCAGGGCGGGGAGGCGGTCCAGGGCTGAGCACGTCCCCCCCCCCCCCCCCCGGGGGCGGCGGCGCGCCGCGCCCGGAGGCGGAGTTCGACGCCCTGTCGCCGCACGAGGGGCGGCTGAGCGGGCAGCAGGCCAAGGCGAAGATGGTCGAGGCCGGGGGCCTCCGGCGCGCCCCTGCTCGGGGCTCAAGGCCCAACAGCAGTTCCTGTTCATTTTGGACAGGAGTCGCTGTCCACGCCGCCGCGGCTTGTGTCCATTCGAGACAGATGGCCGCCTGCCCAACAGCGACCGCTGATGGTTTGGGACAACATTTGTTGTTGGGCATTGTACCCATTCTTTCCGTATCCATTTCGGGCGTCCAAACAAGAGACCCCCAGACCCCCTCGCGCGGCGAACAAAAACACGACGGGAGGTTCTTCGCGATTCTCGGCCTCCGGGGGCCCTCGCCGGGCCGCGGGACCGTCAACAAAACCAGTCGGGATGAAAAACCGGCCCGGGGATGGGGTCCAGGCTTCTGGGGGTCGACGCCATGAAGAAATCACGACGTCGGGGGTCTGGGGACGGGGGTCAGCGCAAGCGGGGGTCAGTCAGAGCGCCGGATCCTGCGGACCCTGCAGGATCCTGCAGAGCCAGGGTTGCATTGACCCGGGTTCGGGTGCAGGATTCTGCAGGATCCTGCAAGGCCTGATTGACCCGGGCCTGGATATGACACGGGCCAGTAATTAGGCCCCCGAAGGCTGCGGGAGACGGGGGCGGAGGGGGCCCAGGAGGGGGGCGAGCACCTCAGGGCCTCAGGGGGAGGGGATGTCGTGGCCAGGGCCGCGATGTGTCTCACGGCTTTCGTGGCCCCGTCTTCTTCTTCTTATTATTACTACTACTATTATTATTACTATTATTCTTATTATTATTATTATTATTATTATTATTGTTCGTCTTGTTATTCGTGTTCTTATTATTATTCGTATGATTCGTCTTGTTATTATCATTATCATTATTCTTCTGATTTTTTTTCTTCTTCTTCTTCTTCTTCCTTTCTGTACCCCCAAGACCGCACCCGTCAGGGCGCGCAGGCGTCGGGCCACGAGGTGCACCGCCCCCCCTTCCTGGCGCCCCGGGGATCTCCGGCGGCTGTGGAGGGCGGTCCGTGGAGAGGAAGGATGTTGCCAGATGTTCCAGGCCTCCTAGATGGGGTCGGGGTAGATGGGGTCGGAGGATCGCGCCGCATCGCCAGTGCATCGCCGATGCATCGCCGATGCATCGGCGATGTATCGCCGATGTATCGGCGATGCGGCGCGATCCTCCGACCCCATCTACCCCGACCCCATCTAGGAGGCCTCTAGATATTTGTCAGATCGAAGACATGTTTTAGCATGTCTTGAACATTCACAGCACATGCTCAAGCCATGCTTAGAACATGTTTCAAACATTGTAAACACAACTTGAGTTCGATCGGAGAGGAAGCGTGTTGCCAAATAGTTTTCCGATCTAAGATCGGGCCTTGGGAAAGGGGGGCATTGGGAAAGGGGGGGTCACGAAATTTGCTGCATGCAGCCGGTTTCGGCCCCACCGAGGGGCCCATTCCTCGATACATAGCCGCCTCCGGCGCCGGGAGGCGCCGGGAAAATCAGCTACGTGGGCTGATTCCCAATCCCCCCCCTTTGCTATCCCCCCTTTCGCCCGACCCGGTAAGACATGCTTTAACACGTCTTGAACACTCACGAAGCATGTTGAAGCCAGGCTTAGAACATGTTTCAAACATCTTAAACACAACGTGGATTCGATGATGGGATTGTTAGGGTGTCCATTGTCATGGCATCCACAATCCGACGGCATGTGTTTTCTCTGCGGCCGGCGGTTCCTCGTCGATCTCGGCCCCCTCGGGGGCCGTTCTCGGGCCAGGGGGCCGAGTCCCCGAGTACGTTGCCGTACGAGCTCCGCTCGAAGTTTTGCCATAAGAGGGGGAGGAGGAGGAAGAGCAGGAGGAGGAGGAGAAGGAGGAGAAGAAGAATAAGAAGGAGAAGAAGGAGAAGGAGAAGGAGAAGGAGAAGAAGCAGAAGGAGGAGGAGGAGAAGGAGAAGGAGGAGGAGGAGGAGAAGGAGAAGGAGAAGGAGAAGAAGGAGAAGGAGAAGGAGGAGGAGAAGGAGAAGGAGAAAAAGGAGGAGTAAGGAGAGGAGGAGGGAGGAGGAGGATCGTCGCGTGATATACGACCCCGAATCAAACCTCCAGGTCGGTTTGGGAGGTCGCCACGGCGATCGCGGCGGCCGCGAGTCGGGGCAAAGCTCTTGTCAAGGCGTGGTATGCCCCTTCCGGCTCCCCCGCTCTGCGATATCGACGTGGACCATTTTCATAAGTGCAGCCTAGATCGGGGGCAGACAAGAGGGGGATGATGACTAGGGAGAG